GTGCTGAGCAAGCTGCCGGCCTGCAGGGCGTCAGCCTTTGCCCGCCGGCCTCAGGTCTCTCTGCCAATTAATCTAAATTCCAAAGTCGCAGTCGCTGTGACTAACAACTCACCTGCCGAATCGACCAGCCCTAAACATTAAAAACTCTAAAATATATATACTATATATTTTTTTTTAAAAGTAAACTCCAAAAGGGAGAGCATGTAACAAGATGTGTCCAGCCCCACTTGCTGTCATGGCCCGGGAACTCAGTTTTAAGGTCTTTCTGGGGGCCCTTCCCAAGAGGGTCAGGTCTGGTCACAGTTCTTTTTTTTTTTTTTTTTTTTTGAGACAGTCTCACTCTGTTGCCCTGGTTAGAGTGCCGTGGCGTCACCCTAGCTCGCAGCAACCTCAAACTCTTGGACTCAAGCTACCCTCCTGCCTCAGCCTCCCGAGTAGCTGGGACTACAGGCATGCGCCACCCATGCCTGGCTAATTTTCTATGTATGTTTTAGTTGGCCAATTAATTTCTTTCTATTTTTAGTAAGAGACGGGGTCTCGCTCTGTGCTCAGGCTGGTTTTGAACTCCTGACCTTAGCGATCCGCCTGCTCAGCTCCCAGAGAGCTAGGATTACAGGCATGAGTGTTCACAGTTCTTTTATGGTTCCCTTTTAATTGTAATGACGTGGAAAGCTGCTACCATCTCAGACCATGAATTCACGTTTCTCAAGAAGACCAACCAATGTGAATAAGGGAACATGAGGCCCATACTTCTGCGTGATCGATCCCCTTCCTTCCCTAGTTTCTGACAGCTCTACCTGATGACCTATATGTTATATACTTATATTCTGATTAAATGCATGTTTGTCTAAAAAGTGAACTCATCGATGGTTTCATGATTGTTATGATAATTCACCACAGAGCAAGATTGTGCCTAAGCCCTAAGAACATGAAACGTGACTTTATAACCTGTGCAGCTTCTCCTGAGCTTCAGAGACGAACAAGCTCTCTTTCCCCATACTACACTGAAGGTGAAAATTTGTCATGTTTTAATTTGCTTTGTATTTGTACTATGCATTTTTGTCCAGCTTTTTGTTTTTCCGGAGGTTTTCATTGTTATCTGTTGACAAAAGAACATATAACTTTTTGTCTTATCACTAAAATCATAATTTCTTATTACATATTTGCACAAACACAATTTTTTTCTTAAAAACATTTTTCTCAACCTGCTGGATAGCTGGACATAGGCACCACACGCCCGGCTAATTTTCTATTTTTAGTAGAGACAGGGTCTCATCTTGCTCAGGCTAGTCTCAAAGTTCTGAGCTCAAGGGATCCTCCTGCCTCACCCTCCTCTGATTACAGGTGTGAGCCACCAAGCCGGCCAAGGACCCATCTCTTAAAAAAAAAAACAAGAAGAAAGATAAGACTGACAACACCAAATGTTGGCAGGATGTGGATAAACTGTTTTGGGGAACGCACAGTGGTACCCTTGGAAAGGAGTTGGCAGTTCTCTTGCAGTGAAACACCCTACCACAGGACCCCACGCTCTTCCACTCCCGGTATTTACCCAAGAGAAACGAAAGCACATGTCCAAAGACTTGTACACAATGTTCATGGCAGCCTTATTGAACAACCAAAAGAGTTTGGAAACAACCCCAAATGTCCTTCAACAGGCAAATGAGTAAACAGATTATGGTAGATCCGAAAAAGGTATTTGCAATAAAATGGAGGAACTAGCAACACATACAATACACAGATGAACTTTATGCAAAGAGAAAGAAAGCAGACAAGAAGGATGCACTATGTGAGTCTATCTCTATGAAATTCTGTCATATGAAACAAATCTCTAGTGACAGAAAGTAGGCCAGTGATTGTCTGGGCTTAGGGATGGGGGCGTCGACCACAACTGACACCAGGGAACCTTCTGCATTGAAAAAAATGTTTTTTTTTTTAATTGGGGGGGCGGTTCACAGGTGTATACAATTGTCAAAATTCATCAAACTGAACACCTAAAATCGGTGTCTTTACTGGATGTAAACCTTAATAAAGTTGATTTTAAAAATTAAAAAGAAAAATGATGGAGTCCTTTTTACCTAGCTCTACCTGGATAAACAGGCAAGAAAATGTTAATTCTTTCAATGAGGATTTTTTTAAAAAAAATCATAGTCACTGTGGTCTTTCTTTTTTTTTTTTTTCTTTTTTTTGAGACAGAGTCTCGCTTTCTTGCCCAGGCTAGAGTGAGTGCCGTGGCATCAGCCTAGCTCACGGCAACCTCAAACTCCTGGGCTCAAGCAATCCTCCTGCCTCAGCCTCCCGAGTAGCTGGGACTACAGGCATGCACCACCATGGCCGCTAATTTTTTTGACAATCACTGGCCTACTTTCTGTCACTAGAGATTTGTTTCATATGACAGAATTTCATAGAGATAGACTCACATAGTGCGTACTTCTTGTCTGCTTTCTTTCTCTTTGCATAACGTTCATCTGTGTTATTGTATGCGTTGCTAGTTCCCTCCATTTTATTGCTAAATACCCTTTTTCGGATCTACCATAATCTGTTTACTCATTTGCCTGTTGAAGGACATTTGGGTTGTTTCCAACTCTTTTGGTTGTTACAAATAAGGCTGCCATGAACATTTGTGTACAAGTCTTTGGACATGTGCTTTCGTTTCTCTTGGGTAAATACTGGGGAGTGGAAGAGCTGGGGTCCTGTGGTAGGGTGTTTCACTGCAAGAGAAACTGCCAACTCCTTTCCCAAAGGGTACCACTGTGCGTTCCCCAAAACAGTTTATCCACATCCTTGCCAACATTTGGTGTTGTCAGTCTTATCTTTCTTTCTTTCTTGTTTTTTTTTTTTTAAGAGATGGGGTCTTGGCCGGCTTGGTGGCTCACACCTGTAATCAGAGGAGGGTGAGGCAGGAGGATCCCTTGAGCTCAGAACTTTGAGACTAGCCTGAGCAAGAGTGAGACCCTGTCTCTACTAAAAATAGAAAAATTAGCCGGGCGTGGTGGTGCCTATAGTCCCAGCTATCCAGCAGGTTGAGAAAAATGTTTTTAAGAAAAAAATTGTGTTTGTGCAAATAATGTAATAAGAAAATTATTGATTTTAGTGATAAGACAAAAAGTATATGTTTCTTTTGTCAACAATAACAATGAAAACCTCCGGGAAAAACAAAAAGCTGGACAAAAATGCCATAGTACAAATACAAAGCAAATTAAAACATGACAAATTTTCACCTTCAGTGTAGTATGGGGAAAGAGAGCTTGTTCGTCTCTGAAGCTCAGGAGAAGCTGCACAGGTATAAAGTCACGTTTCATGTTCTTAGGGCTTAGGCACAATCCTTGCTCTGTGGTGAATTATCATAACATCATGAATACCATCGATGAGTTCAACTTTTTAGACAAACCATGCATTTAATCAGGAATATAAGTATATAAACATATAGGTCATCTGGTAAGAGCTGTCAGAAACTAGGAGAAGGAAGGGGATCGATCACGCAGAAGTATGGGCCTAATGTTCCCTTTTCACATGGTTGGTCTTCTTGAGAAACAGTGAATTCATGGTCTGAGATGGTAGCAGCTTTCCACGTCATTTACAATTAAAAGGGAACCCATAAAAGAACTGTGAACACTCATGCCTGTAATCCTAGCTCTCTGGGAGGCTGAGAGGCTCGCTAAAGGTCAGGAGTTCAAAACCAGCCTGAGCAAGAGCGAGACCCCGTCTCTACTAAAAATAGAAAGAAATTAATTGGCCAACTAAAAACATACATAGAAAAAATTAGCCAGGCATGGTGGCGCATGCCTGTAGTCCCAGCTACTCGGGAGGCTGAGGCAGGAGGGTAGCTTGAGTCCAAGAGTTTGAGGTTGCTGCGAGCTAGGGTGACGCCACGGCACTCTAACCAGGGCAACAGAGTGAGACTGTCTCAAAAAAAAAAAAAAAAAAAAAAAGAACTGTGACCAGACCTGACCCCTCTTGGCGAAGGGGCCCCCAGAAAGACCTTAAAACTGAGTTCCCGGCCATGACAGCAAGTGGGGAGGCTGGACACATCTTGTTACATGCTCTCCCTTTTGGAGTTTACTTTTAAAAATATATATATATATATTTTTTAGAGTTTTTAAATGTTTAGGGCTGGTCGATTCGGCAGGTGAGTTGTTAGTCCGCAGCGGACTGCGACCTTTGGAATTTAGACTAATTGCAGAGAGGACCTGAGGCCGGCGGGGCAAAGGCTGAGTCGCACCTGCAGGCCGGCAGCTTGCTCAGCACATCACTCCACGACAGAACAGGGCTGCTCCACCATCAGCAGACTCGCTTGTCCTGAAACATGCCTTTCTACCCATGCCAAGCCTTTAGGCAAACCTTTATTTCTTTTTTATTATTATTTTATTGTATTTTTTTTAGACGGCGTCTCACTCTGTCACCTGGGCTAGAGTGCCATGGTGTCAGCCTAGCTCACAGCAACCTCAAACTCCTGGGCTCAAGCGATCCTCCTGCCTCAGCCTCCCGAGTAGCTGGGACTACAGGCATGCGCCACCATGCCCGGCTAATTTTTTCTATATATATTAGTTGGCCGATTAATTTCTTTATATTTATAATAGAGACGGGGTCTCACTCTTGCTCAGGCTGGTCTCGAACTCATGACCTCCAGCAATCCTCCCGCCTCGGCCTCCCAGAGTGCTAGGATTACAAGCGTGAGCCACCGTGCCTGGCCTAAGTTGCCTTTTCTTTTTCAATTATTTCCACTATACTATTTGCTCGACCACATTAACCTGACTATAATAAAACATCAAATCACATTGAGAAATAAGAGAATGGACAGAAACAAGCAGAATAAAAGGTATAGCGTGTCATAAAGAAAAAACACCCATCTGCTGATTTTCAGCCTTGCTGGTGGTTTGTGGTAGAGGTGACCGGGAGAATGGTCACCGAGGGTGACGGTGTCCCTGTGGGTGACGGTTCGCCTTCTCTGTGTCTGGTGTGCTCGTAATTGAAGTTGCTAAAGAGCTATGAAGACTGTGTAGTTTGCATATCACAAAGTTTTATTAATGTGATTTTAAGGCCAATTAAACTAATTTTATTTAAAGTAAGTCTACATTAAATTACAATATTAACAATCTCTAGACACAATGAACTTAAAATATAAGGAGCAGAAATAGAAATCTATTTGGTCTTTGATAGACCACATATCATAGAACTCAAAGAAAACCCACAAATATAGAAATGCTGATAATTAAAGAGTGAGGGTTTAATATGGGAATCCATAAAGGTGTCGTATCTTAAACATGCATGTTTCAAAAAGAGAGGATCTTTTAATAATTTAGCATAAAATCAAATCATATAAACTCGGTATATTCCAGAAAATATTGCTTTAAACTCTTTATACCATGATCAAAATTCCTTTGGTAGCTTTTCAATCAAAATGAAACATGCTTATGTAAATATAAAGTACTTTTAAATGTTATCACAAAAGTATCTTTGTCATAGTTACCATACTAACATCACCACGGAGCTTCCAACCCGCTGTTCAACCTCACGAATATGTGCACAACATGAAACCAGGTACACCAACACAACCCTTTTAATCTCTCAACAAAATAACCTCTGTTTCCAACATCAAGACTTTGTCTCCATAAAACTTTTTACAGTGGTGCAGCAGAGATCCCGGACCCTCCCTGCGCGTGGCCGTAAAAACCAAACCAAGCTCTAGCATAGCAATCACACAAATACTGCAATTTAAAAAAATCAAACAGCAGTTATCCCAATGCAAAAAACAGGGACTGCCAGACTCAATCTTAGAATGGAAACACAAACACACTAACCCCCCAAACCCTTGAACAGAAAACTCACGACTAACTTAGCTGAAATGAAACACAGAAGCTCTGGGCTCACTGCACCACACGCCCCGGATGGCGTCCGCCTGGCGCGACTGGGGGGTCTCACTTAGAAACCTGATTTATCAAAAATCAGTCACCGAAGTTTAAAACTTTTTGAAAATACATGAAACACAGAGGTGCCAGTGTTTAGGCCGCATAATCGATTGGCCACTTTTGAACACTGTTTATTCTTAACGCTCACCAACGAAGGGTTCCTGTTTTCACTCTACATGTCCGCCAACCTAGAAAGCTTGTCTTCAGAATACCTAAGCACTCTTTACAGCGGAATAATGCAGCATTTAGGGTCTTTTTCACTGTGCATTCATGAACACAAAAGCAAACCAAACTTTCAGCTGTTTGCCACAAGAACGAGACCTTATAAAGGACTCGTTTTAACCAGTATCTTCTTGTCCAATCTCAACGTTGTTCTGCGCAGAGCAAGAGAAACAATTTAAACGCCTAACAGAGCTAGAGGGGAAAGGATACGTTTGCCGTGTGACAGTCCTCGAGCCTTGTGGAGGGTGGTCCAGGATTCCTCTCCTTTCCTGGTCCACAAGTGCCCATGGCTGGTTCAGCACGAGAGTCCCGGAAACGCAGACGTGCTTCGCCGCTCTGAGATACATTCTGGAGCGTCACGGAAGGGGACAGGCCGCGACCCGTCAGGCCACGTAGTGGTACTGGTTTGGGTTGTCTTTGTCTCGCTCCATATAGTCTCTGTCTATGAGAGATTCGATTCTCTTTTTCAAATCTCCAGGCTAAAAAAGGAAAATGAAACAAACAGAACCCTCAATTATAGTGGCGTTACACTGACGCACACGGGGAATCTAATACATTACACATAGAGCATGTGATTATAGTCACACACATATATAACACATATGATCATACAAATAGACACATTTATATTAAAATATTTTATAATTATATAAGTAATGATAAAATGAATGACATTCCCTATGTCAAAGGCAGTGCTAACATTGCCTCTTCACCCAGCGTTTCCACGTGAGCTTGGTTGAGGCACGGGAAACTCGTAAAATGTAAATACGTCGCTGACCATCAGTGACGGGCACACGAGCAAGGCTGACCCCACTAAGTGACACATTTTTGTCTGTTTGAAAAGGAAATCTGGGGCGTGCTCATCCTTCCTAAGGGCACTTCTTCCTAAGGAATGTGTCTATCATCACGAATTCAGGGCGTGCGGCAGCTACAGAGCTGATAGCCGCAAGCCCCGAGCGCCCTTGGGCTGAAGGCTCTCCCAGCATGAGGGGCGCCCTCTCTCTTCCAGATAGCAGGACATTCTGCTCAGTGACGGCACACATTTTACAGGACGTGGCCCAAGCCCCACGGCTACAGAAGCGCACCGGGGCTTTGGCCAGCTGCACGCCTGCTCCCAGCTCGTTGAGTCTGGGTCTCCTCGCTCGCAGAGGGGAAAACGACACGCGCCCTGGCACTTAGTTATGTTAATGCCACATTTACCTTTACTGGAAACTTTAGCTGGTTATACAATTCAGAAACTAGCAGGTTATGGCCAAGAGTCTTTCTCATCTTCATTATTCTGACTATAGCAGCGTCAATCTGATACTGTCTGTCCTGAAAGACTCTCTCAGTGGTGCTCACTTGTTCCTCAACCTGCACAAAACAAGAAAAAAGGTCAAGTGCAAAGATGCATCTCAGCATTAAAGGTTTCACGTTGCTGAGTTTGATGAGAAACTTTCTTTGATACAAAGAAAGGTCAGACTTTGCATGAACCCTGTTATGTTATGTGTTGTTTTAGTAAAACTTACTAAAACAAGAATAGAGAAACTCCAAACCCAAAGCTTGAAAAATTATTTAACAAGTTACATTTTCCTTATAACAAAGCTGTAAAATGCTATATAAGATATAGATTGAATCTAGCAGCACTGGCTAGGCGCAATGGCTCATGCCTGTAATAATTCCAGCACTTGGAGAGGCCAAGACAGGAGGACTGCATGAGGCCAGGAGTCTGAGACCAGCCTAGGCAGCACAGTGAGACCCTGTCTCTAAACAAAAGTGAAAAATTAGCCGGGCATGGTGGCGCATGCCTGTAGTCCCAGCTACTCGGGAGGCTGAGGCAGGAGGATCGCTTGAGCACAGGAGGTGGAGGCTGCAGTGAGCTCTAATGACGCCACGGCGCTGCAGCCCGGGTGACAGAGTGTGGCTGTATCTCTAAAAACAGCAGCAACGACAACAGGGCAGCGTAGAGGACAAAACGCGGCACAACAGCCACCAGGGTGTCTGTCTCCCAGAAGTGCGAGTTCGATGGGCGCCAGGTCTGCGAACGCGACTGTGAGCATCGCAGGGGCACGGGCACGGGCGAGGCCGCACCATCCTCTGGGCAGACGCTGGGAACGGTGAAACAGAACCGATTCTCGACGTGAAGAAGCAAGCGCCAGCGCACGTGCTCAACACCCAGGGAAAAAGCTGGACGTGATTAGGAGCAGTTACCAGAACAGAACACTCCGGAACCCATGCATCCTGGACAGCACCCGGCAGGCGCGCAGCTGAGACGGGGAGGGGGAGGGCAGTGCAGGGCGAGGGCACGGACACATGCGGCCCGGGGAGGGAGAGGCTCCCAGTTTTCACCATCATTGCAAACGGATCTGCAACCCAAAAAACACTGCTATTCCCTTTCGCGGGGGAAGCAGTCAGGAGAAAGCTGGGACGGCTGGTTGCTAAGGCGCCACTCGAGGGCTTGGCCTCGGGGCGGGAGCAGACAGCGAGGAGGCAGACCGGAAAGGAGCCCTCGAGGCGGGCGACCGTTGCTCACAGATGAGCTGGAGAGCCCAGGACGACCGAGGCAACCACCGAAGCCAGCGTGGGCTGAGAGAGGCTGCTGCAGACTCGGGAAGGGCGCACGGGGCGGGGTGGGCAGCGAGGGCGCGCACTCTGCCCACAGGTGGCAGAGACGCAGGAAAACAGACCCTCCGCAGGCCCCTCCTGCTCGGGGGTCTGACGGTCGGTCTCTGGCCATGGCCCCGGGAGAGGCCTCCTTTCGGTCCCCGAGAAGGCCGAGGTCGGGTCTCCAGGGTCTGCTCGGGCTCCCCGTCCGTCCCGTCACCACACTGGCCATCCGCGTGACTGCCTGCCTCTGGTCTGCTGGAGGGACTGAGTCCCCGGAGCCAGGACTCACCCTCCCTTTACTGTTCTCAGCTGGGCCCTCAGTGCTTCTTGGGGACCTGGCTCACAGCCGGAGCTTAATGAATGAATGAATGACGATTTATCACTATCTGATGAGACACACAGAAGACTTGCAGACAAAAAGGCCTAGAAAGCTCTGAGGAAGACAACGGAAGAGCTGTGTGTCTTTTTATATACACACATATACATGAATCAGAAGATTTAATATGGTAATGACGAAAACTATGCAAATGAAGTCAATGCAGTCTGGGTTGAAAATGCCAGTGCTCTTATTTGGGGATAAAAAAGCACGATAAATTACTCTGAAGTCCACTAGGAGGACAAAGCTACGGGAGCAGGCGCACTAACTAGAAGAACACGGGGACTATGAAGTGAATCAACAGAATTGAGAAACTGACCCGTAATATAGGAATCTGATATATAGTAAAGGTGAAAATCCAAACAAGTTGTCCAAGGATGATATTTTCAATTTGGTTTTGGAGTGGGGGGGGGTTAGATGGCTTTCTGACACTAAAATAATTTCTACATCAAAGAAGGATTTACATGTACAAACTACTTGAAAAATAACATAGGTAAATATTTTTTAAATTTGAGATTTAAAGTTCTTTTTTTGGCATGATGCCTAGGTCAGAAACCATAAAGCAAAAGGTATTTCAGAACTTAAAAACTCTCACCTGGAAAAAAGCCCACTCAAAACAACAAAATTATCAGTCAAAAATGACAGAGGTTGAGTCTCCTTAGTATATAAAGGACACCTGCTCATCGGCAAGGGAAAGAACATCATGATAAATGTATTTCACTTGAACAAGCAGGCAAAAAAAGAGAAAAACACCAACTGACCACGAAAAGCTCAGAGAGACACCAGCTCACAGAGGGGTTGGAGGCGCTTGGCCAAGAGCTTGTGAACCCTACTGGGTGAGCTCGCGACTGAGGCCGTATCCGTCTGTTTTACTGTAAGAGATGAGGGGCTGAGGAGCAGAAGGATCACACATCCTGTGTGGGCTCCTGAGTGGCAGAGAGAGAGGCTGAAAGCCATCAGAGAAATCCCACGGAAATGCAGCGAGCCGTCCCTGCCTGCCGGGAAAGCGCGGGCGGTGGGGGCGGCGCAGTGTGGAGCGCCCCCTCTGGTGGCAAGCGCAGGGGACGGGCCTGCTGCCCACACACAGGGCGCCACCGCACTCAGTGGGCCCGAGGACCGCTCTGCTCCACGCGGCAGGTCCTGCGTGGAAAGAGGCCGCGACAGGCCGGTAAGACAGGCTGCGAGACGGCAAGAGATGGCGTCTACGCAGAGAGCCTATTTTGTTGTTGTTGAAGAGACCAGGTCTTGCTGTGCTGCCCAGGCTGGCCTTGGACTCCCGGGCCTTGTGCCTAAGGGATCCTTGTGCCTTGCCCCTGAGTAGGCGTGTGTCCCCGCACCTGCTAGGGGACCCCACTGTAAAGACAGCGTTTATGCACGCGTGTCACAGACAAAAGTGGCCATCAACAGAAGTGGCAACAGTGGCCATCTCTGGGAGAAAAGGGTGGCAGACAGCCCTGCTTTGGAATGACAACTGCAAAACTTCACACTTTCTTTTGAGACAGGGTCTCACTTTGTTGCCCAGGCTAGAGTGAGTGCCATGGCGTCAGCCTAGCTCACAGCAACCTCAAACTCCTGGGCTCAAGCAATCCTGCTGCCTCAGCCTCCCGAGTAGCTGGGACCACAGGCATATGCTACCATGCCTGGCTAATTTTCTATATATTTTTAGTTGGCCAATTAATTTCTTTCTGTTTGTAGTAGAGACAGGGTCTCGCTCTTGCTCAGGCTGGTTTCATACTCCTGAGCGCAAACAATCTTCCTGCCTCAGCTTCCCAGAGTGCTGGGATTACAGGCGTGAGCCACCGCCCCCAGCCCAAAACTTCACGCTCTTCACTCTAAATTCCTAAAAGTAAAAAAGCTGCAGAAAAGACATGTACGTTTAAGTCTCTAGCAGGTCTGTCAAACTGCCCACTGAAAAGCTGCCCCTCAAAGCGGGTGGACCCTCTGCACACATGGCCGCCGGAGCCCCTCAGCAGGGAGCGGACAAACAGCCCAGGTCCATCCAGACAGGGCACCAGGACTAATCAAAGTCTGGCTGTGATAGCTAAGGCTGCGTCCCGTGTGACCCCAGCTACGTGACATCCTGGAATGGCGAAACTGCGGGGACAGTGACGAGCAGTGGCCGCCGGCGCCCAAACTGACAGAACGTGGAGCATCTTTAGGGCAGTGGATGCTGTGTGCTGACATTCTAAGGGTGGCCACACGTCATCACGCCTCTGCCCAAACCTGCAGAACACATGACCATGCGTGACCCTCACTGTGGACTGCGGCCTTGGGGGCTGTTCCGTGTCAGTGCAGGGTCGCCAACTGTGCCAACCACCCCACGAGGGGGCACGGCACGCCGGAGCCTGTGCCTGGGCTGCAGCACGTGAGAAACCTCTGTCCGTGCCTCTCAATTTGGATGCCAGGGCCGCTGTGAGGGCTGCCTCGTTCAGAGACGCCTGGGGACGGAGGGTGGGGGTGAGGTGGGGGGGGGACCTGTCCGTGTGCCGCCTGAGCGTCTGGTCCGGCCCGGAGCACTTCCTGGGCACACGGTGACACAGATGCCACTTCAGCGGCTCCAGCCATGACCTGCGCCTCCTCCCAGACCCTGCACCATGCAGAACGTGCAGACAGTCGCAGGGCCCTGGACACTGGCTCCCTGCGCGTTCTGAGTCAGCAGAGCTCGCCCAGACGGTCTGACCCAGCACAGCGTTTCCACGAGCAGGAGCAGCTGCCCAGTGGGCTTCTCGTCTCCACCCCTGCCGAGCACACGCAGCAAGGCTGCGTGCATACGTGTACGCCCACAAACAGGGTGTCCACGTCTGGGATTTCAGAAATGTGCCTTAGGCCTCTAACAGTAAAAAAAAAATTACGGTAAAGAGCCACGATTCCTTGGTGAACGTCCTGTAAGTGAAAGGAAGTCTATACATACGGTTTCCTTCATCTGAATCTGGTTGATCTTTATTCTAAACAGCTTGTGCTTGAAGTCTCCGTTAAAGACGAACTTGTCTCCATCCTCCACCTCCTTGCCCTTGGGGCTCTTGGTCAGCACGCGCGCCTTGCCGCAGGCCAGGGACTGCAGCGTCCTGCGCAGCTCGCTGTCCTCTGGGTGGGGGCAGACGGGGAGGGGCTGGCGTCAGCGAGCGGGGCCGGCACCGGGCAGAGGCCAGCCTGGCCCCTCCCACAAACACCCACCAACAGCGGCGTAGCGACGGCCTGGCTCCTACCTATGCCGGTGGCCAGTTTGATTTCCTCGAGGCTGAACTCGTCCTCCTCGTTGAACATGAGCAGCACCAGCGTCTGGAAGAGGGACACCTGGAGCTCCTTCTTCCCCTGCAAGGAAACGGGCTCAGCACTCGGGAGGCTGTGCTTTTCGGTCTCTGAGGCACCGAAACAGGCTTCCTTCTGCTCCTGAACTTTTTGTGAGGGGACTGAGAAATTACTAAGAGCTACCGACATAAGAAGTTGCCGGCTACAAAGAATACGATGATCATTATGTATTGCACTTAAAATTCATCTCTCGCAGTGTCTTCTAGAGCAGTAAAAACATTCTTTACTAAATTCTGTTGAACAAGGGTGTTTCCCGTCTCTGGAGCCAGACACGTGAGTGCCGGCTCACGCTCCACTGTGCAGCCCACCGTGGTCCCCCAGAGGTGGGGGGGGGCGGAGCGAGGGGAGGGCAGGGAGAGGCCCTGAGTGCAGGTCGCTGTGGAGAACCCCTGCACCCTCGTGGACAGAGCACAACACGGTCACGACTAACTCTGTCCAGGGGCCCGCCACATACAGCACAAGTGCGCGTCTGGCCTTGGCGCCCTGGGTCATGCCACACGCACCGTGACGAGCTCACAGCTCCGCATGCAGGAGCCGGGACAGCAGCTGTGCTGGGTCTTGCCGGGCCGGTCTGGGCCGAGGCAGAGCCAGCCCCCGCCCCCAGGCCTGCGGAGCGCTGTGCGGAGGCCGAGAAGCCCACAGATCCCAGCCCTCACCAAGGCGGCAGGAAGGGGCAGCGCCGGCAGAGCTGGGGGCTCGGGGACTGACCCCCAGTCCCGAGAGAAGCGCTTGTGTGGTTTCACGCATCTAACCCTGCGCGTGACACACACAGAGTATGTGTCTGATTGACATGAACATGTGCAGGTGGGCGTGTTACCACACTACATGAAATGGAAACGCTATGATTCTTCTGCTTGGCGAACGCAATTAAATTCCATGCGTGACACCAAGTGCGGCGCGAGCAGGAAGGGAGCCTCCACGCCGTCTGCGACCTCTCTCGCCGGCCCTGCGCTGTGCGCGCTCCCCTCCGTGGTCTCAGGGAAGCACCACAACTACGGCAGCCAGGCGCGAGGCTCTGGGGTTCCCTGCCGCCCCTCCCGCGTTGCTCTGTCGCGTTCTCAGGGGAAAGAGGCGTCTGGGCGAGTCTCTCGTGCGGCCCTGTGTTTCGCAGGGAGCAGGACGACTTCGCATTCTCTGCCCTTCCTTCGTTTCGGTACATGGCTTTCTACTGATTGATTTCGCACTGATGTTTTTGATTGGACTATTAACTGTTATGAATTCTACTGACCTAGAAAAGCTAGTGCTGAATGACACTGAAACAATCTTTTCCTTCCTTTACCACCAAACTTCAGTGTCAACTGAAAAAATTCTGTTAACAGACATACAAAAAACAAAAGAGAAATGAAACAAAGATCTTACTTCCTTAAACTCCGCTTTTAACACAGCGTGCCCCAGAGTGGTCTGCCACTGCAGCTTCCGGCCGCTGTGCTTTCCGAGATAAAACGTCTTGAATACTTCCTGGAGTTTGATCATCTGTCAAGCACAGGAAGCAACAAATGTAATCATGCCTAGCACCGTCACCCTGTGACCTCCACGCGCTCACAGAGCTGTGCCGCTTCCCGCAGCCCCGCAGCCCCGCTGCCCCACAGCCGCCTGCTCCGGCACTCCTGGCTGAGGCAGGCCCAGCACTCTGCGAGCGTGGACCCAGACAGGGCTCGGGGCAGGGCCGGCTCAGGCTCTTCCTAGCTGTGAGCAGCCACAGCACCGGCAGGTGCAGCGGGAGCAGGTGCCGGCATTCTCTGGGCCCAACAGGCCCCGTGGTCTCTGTGTCCCGTAACCTCACGCCCCCCTTTCTGCTTCGAAACCCAGCCCGAGAGCCGCCCCTGTGTAGAGCCGAACACAACACGCCGGTGGATGGCCCCGCCACCACCTTCTGCACCATCAGATCCCAGGCCTGGCGCTACTTCATTTTTAAGTATTTCTACATATATTTCTAAAATATAAGAAATATATCTGACTATGCCATTATCACACCTAAAAAATAAAAGTCAATAATGTGATAGACAATTATTTAAAGCATGCCTCTTCTAGATGTTATTCCTTGGGGTAATTCCTAGGCCTGGGATTAACCAAGGGGATATGCGATAATGCCCCTCAGAGCTAACATTTGGGAACTCACACACTCGCCACACTCCAGGCTCAAAATGGATCAAAGACAGACATGTAAGAGCTCAATCTATGAAACTGGGAAGGAGACATAGGGGTACATTTTTCATGACCTTGGCTTTGGCAATAGTTTCTTAGATATGACACTGAAAGTACAAATAACAAAGGTAAAAATAGATAAATCTGATTTTATCAAGACTAGCAACTTTTGTGGAAAGGATACTATCAAGAAAGTAAAGAAACAACACACAGAATGGGAGAAAATACTTGTGAAACATGTATTTGGTAACAGTCTAGTACTCAGAATATACAAGGAACCCTTATAACTCAACAACAAAAAGACAAACCAAACTAAAAACCGGGCAAAGGCACCAGGTGTAGTGGCTCACGCCTGTAATCCTGGCACTCTGGGAAGCTGAGGCGGGAAGATCGTTTGAGCTCAGGAGTCCAAGACCAGCCTGAGCAAGAGCGAAACCCCCCTCTCTAAATAGAAAGAAATTAATTGGCCAACTAAAAACATATATATATAAAATTAGTGCTCGCTTCGGCAGCACATATACTAAAATTGGAACGATACAGAGAAGATTAGCATGGCCCCTGTGCAAGGATGACACACAAATTCATGAAGCGTTCAAAAAAAAAAATTAGCCGGGTATGGTGGCACATGCCTGTAGTCCCAGCTACTCGGGAGGCTGAGGCAGGAGGATCGCTTGAGCCCAGGAGTTGGAGGTTGCTATAAGCTGGGCTGAGGCCACGGCACTCTAGCCCGAGCAACAGAGTGAGACTTTGTCTCAAAAAAAATTAAATAAAAAAGAAGACGTGGGCATGACAACAGAACAAAGGAGCCAGCTTCGAGGTGCTCCTGCCAAATCTGGGCCGTGTAAGCGTAAGCAGGTCAACAGAACAGGAGTCTCGAGTTTGCGCTGACAGAAATAAAACAAGTAACAACCGGGCAGAGGGACTGGGGCAGTCCCCAGTTACCAGTCCCCAGTCACCACTCGGGGGACGTCTGGGTGTGGACCGAGCTGCCCGCGTGTACGAAAGGGCCTTGGCCCAGTGGTCACGCCTGGCGCCCCCAGGTGCTGGACAGGGCCTTCCTGCCGGGCCCCGCACCGAGCTAATCGCACGGGGCCACGTGGACGACCCGCAGGTGGATCCTGGGCTGGATCAGGTCCCAGAAAACACGCCATGAAGGACACACTTGAGGCAACTGAGAGAGGGAACATGCGGGACACCACGCGGCTGACGTGAACACGCAGTGGGGGTGTGTGAGCGTTCTTTGAACTGTCCTACCTGTTCACTGTAAGTCTGAACTATTACAAAACAAGAAGTTACAAAACTGGCAGTGCACAAGAGAGGCACGCCTGTGGACGGAGGTGGCCAAGGCAGCGAGGGAGGTTTCTGGAAAAGGAGGTTCCCCTCGGAGGGATGAGCAGGAAGGCCTGAGCGGACCGAGCACTGGACCCACCAGCGGCAGGAGCACGTGTGGTGGTGGTGGGGGGGGGTGGGGGTCGGCGCAGTCCTGTCGGACGGAATGCCCGTGCGTGCCCCGGGGGCAGGGCCGCACCAGCCCATGGAGCGGGAGGAGCCGAGGGTGAGTTCTGGAGACCATGTGCATCGAGGGTGGAGAGGAGCAAAAGGGAGAAGGTGGTTGCAAAAGCAGCTGCCCGGTGGGGTTGAAAGAGAAGACTGAGGAGCTTCAGGAAGAAACAGCCAGCGCCCCAGAGGCCTCCGCCATGTCTGCCCGGGGCTCCGTGCCTGTGTCGGGGCGCAGGAGGCGACGCCCCACAGCATGGCGCTTGGCACGCCGAGCACTTGGAACCAAGGAGGCCAAGAGGCCCCAGACATAAATTCTCTGACCTCGTCCTGCCCGTCTGCTGCCCACCTGTCCCCACTGAAGTGGGTCAGAGAAACCGGAACCCTCTGCCCAAAGCAGTCACCCCACAGTGCCCCAGAAACACGACTCCCGCCTTCCTTGCCGTCCTGCGTAGGAGCCGGCCACGAAGCTCTCGACCCACCTCTAGGCCACCAGACTCTGGTTCTAGCCAAGAATCTGCACAGACAGGCCCCGAGGGATCCCCCTCAGTCTCCCTCACGAGCTCATTCCCTGTTGTCCAATCACATCTCTACATGGCCGTCCCCTCGCTGTCAAACCTAAGCCACAAGTGGATGGCGTTCCTTGGGTCTTTGGGTCTTCATTTCGGAAGGCTCCTATGTCGTAAAACTTTGTCAGATACATTTGTCGCGCTTTTCTCTTGCTGACCCTTTGTTATGGGCTTGTCAGAGTCACCCTCACGATGGGTGAGGGGATGTCTCACACTTCTCCGACCCACAGCTGGACGCCCCTCACCCCTTCTCTGTGGAGGGAGGAACCACTCATCTGCGACTAAGATCAGGCAAAGCGTGGCCTTCTCCAGGAAGTTCTCCCTGATTCCACACTGGAATCGGCCCTTTCCACTTTGCTGGGATTAAGGTAACGGCGTGTGCGCCCTTCCCTGCTGGAGGTCAGCTTCGCCGAGCGTCTGCCCCTACCTGCAGACCCCCTGTGGCACCGGAAGCTGTGGCTCACAGGTTTAAGACCCTACACAACGCCACCCCTAGAACGTGAGCACCGTCTGCAGTGGCGAGACCCGGGCCACAGGCCCCTGGGAACAAGGCCCGCGCTGGCAGCCTCCCCACTGGCCGGCCAGCGTTCGTGGGCCTCGGCGGAAGGAGCTGCGGACGGCGACAGAGTCGGCCACTCTCCAGCGCTGCCTTCCAGGGACTGTGAGGACACCCTGATCTCTGACCACGTGGGCCACGTAAAAAGCTTCCCAGCAAACACTGGAAGGTTCCACGTCTGCATGCGGGCGCGACACGGCGCGGCACTTACTTCTGGGGTCAGGTGCACGTCCATGGGCGTGTACGTCGGCCAGTAGCCCATGGTGAGGATGTTCACGGTGAGGTCAATCGGGGCCGGGTCACTCTGATTCTGCACGTGCTGAAGACGAACAAACCCAAAACAGAATAGTATTTTAGAAAACCATCAAAAGCAATCAATCCCTAAAAGTAAAAGGTGTAATTGTCAGAATAAAGCCTCATCAGTGTTAGTGTTTACTTCAATCCTGGGAACATAGGACACCAAAGCCAAAGGTGTCCCAACATCATGGAACATTTTCCCTCCTTCTGGTTTGCCACCAACACCACGCACAGTCAGACCTGCTTAAATCAAACTCTGGTTGTACGTTTTCAGGGCTTCTTTCCCATTTTCATTTTGGTTTATTTGTGAAGCATTAACAGTGTAACTGTTTCTCACGCAGTGTAGAGCGGGCACTTTTCAGAAAGCTGCTTCACCTGCAGAAAAAACGCACCTGCTTGAAGTGGACCATGATGTCCTTGGAGAGCTCCATGTCCTTGAACATGCCCTCCAGCTTGCTGGTGAAGGCCGCGCCGCACTCTGCAACACAGTACGGGGCAGGTGAGACAGCCCCGCCCGGCGACAGGAGGGGCTTCCATCCCGCCCGCTGGTGAAGGCCACCAGACTCTGGGACGCAGCCAGGGGGGCAGCCCCGCCCGGCGACAGGAGGGGCTTCCATCCCGCCCGCTGGTGAAGGCCACCAGACTCTGGGACGCAGCGAGGGGGGCAGCCCCGCCTGGTGACAGGAGGGGCTTCCATCCCGCCCGCTGGTGAAGGCCACCAGACTCTGGGACGCAGCGAGGGGGGCAGCCCCGCCCGGTGACAGGAGGGGCTTCCATCCCGCCCGCTGGTGAAGGCCACCAGACTCTGGGACGCAGCCAGGGGGGCAGCCCCGCCCGGCGACAGGAGGGGCTTCCATCCTGCCCGCTGGTGAAGGCCACCAGACTCTGGGACGCAGCGAGGGGGGCAGCCCTGCCCGGCGACAGGGCCCCGCCCCGCGCTCACCGTGCTTGAGCTTCGACAGCATGGACTTCTCAGCGTCCACTGAGGCACTTTTCCCAACAAGGAGTCTTTTTGCCAAATCCTTTTTATAAAAGGCTTCGAAGACATCTTTACCTATTTAACACCAGGAGAGAGTAACGTCAGACTTTAGGCAGCTGGCACGTGAACGACAGACTTCGACTGCTGAGACCCTCTGAACTGTTCCTCCCAGTGCAGACCACGCTGCTGGCACCCCAAGTCTAGCGTTAAGTTCCCCATGGAAGGACAGGGCCCCACGCAGGCGTTTCGGTCACGACACGCATGTCCTGGCCGTGCAGCGCCTTCCAAGCGCTCCCCCCACGGAGAAGCCCGCCTCCTCACCGTGGATGAACCTGAACAGTATCATGATCTTGTCCAGGGTCCTCTCCAGCTCCTCGTCGGTGGCCTCTTTGTTGCCCGCACGTAGCTTGGAGTCCACGTGCTTCGCTGTGGGAGCAAACAAGCGTGGTCTGGGTTGGGAAAGCACACTTTTAGTTTCTATGAGCAACCACGGGATGGCAGCACTCCAGACCTTTCCAAAGTGACAGGATTACATGACACAGTGGCAACACCCGGCTCTCTAAAGACAGGTGCTCTCGAGTCATGCAAGAATAAATACTGCCAAAAACGCCAACAAAGCCAGGGACTGGACTTTAAAAGCAAGCTTCAATATCTCTTCTAATCTCTAAATCTCTAAATTTAAGGATAAGATTGATTCCTGTGACTACACGCTCAGGTTTCATGGCACGTTGCTGCCCCAGACAACAGAATTATACGATGTGGTATAATAAACTCAGAAGGGACGTTCTCAAAGAGAAAGAATGTTTCTCAGGGCTCCGAGTGCTTAACCCAAGGTAATGAGGCAGGGAAGAGAGCCTTTCTGTGCAGGCTGCACAAGCTAACTGTAGGGTGGCTCGGGGAGGGGCGACAGAAGTCTCCACGTCGTGACGGAAGCCCAGACTTCCAGAAGCCCAAACTCCCAAGAGCTTAACATCTGTCTTCGTTAGAGAAATCACAATCGATAAAGTAGTATGGAAGCCAAATTAAACTGCCCCATAAATTTCCTTTGTTGTTGCTTTTATTAACTTTTTTTTTTTTTTTTTGAGACAGAGTCTACTCCGTCACCCTGGGTAGAGTAGAGTGGCGTCATCACAGCTCACTGCAGCCTCCAACTCCTGGGCTCAAGTGATCCGCCCGCCTTGGCCTCCCAGAGTGCCAGGATTACAGGTGTGAGAAACCAAGCCCGGCCCCTTTTAACTTTTTACTGTGGAATATTCTGAACATACAGAAAAGCAGATAGTTGTATAATGAACTCCATGTTTTGTCATATGTCTCAATAATAATTAACATGCACTCGATTTTGCATTGTTGCATTACATTTCTCTTCGCCCCTTTCCTCCTGTAAATTAAAAAAAACTTTTGGCCAGGCGCGGTGGCTCACGCCTGTAACCCTAGCACTCTGGGAGGTCAAGATGGGAGGATCACTTGAGCTGAGGACTTTAAGACCAGCCTGAGCAAGAACGAGACCCCGTTTCTACTTAAAAATAGAAAGAAATTGGCCAACTAAAAATATGTAAAAAAATTAGCCGGGCATGGTGGCGCATGCCTGTAGACCCAGCTACTCGGGAGGCTGAGGCAGGAGGATTGCTTGAGCCCAGGAGTTTGAGGTTGTTGTGAGCTAGGCTTACGCACTCTAGCCTGGGCAACAGAGTGAGACTCTGTCTCAAAAAACTTTCATTGACTAGTGAAAGCCTATGAATTCTGAAATCTATTTAGATCTTATCACAAAATCATTGTATAAATTGGTATAATTAACAAAAGTTTAATTTTAAAATAGGCTATTATTTTAGATCCCACCTAATTGCACCCCATTTTAATACTGTTTGCAGATGCAAAGATGGTGACTGAGGAATATCTCATGTTAAATACTCCCAGACACTGATAAAGTTATCCCCACAGCACGGGGCATTCTTACACAACAAACCTTCTGAGTCTAATTTCTGAGCAGAAATCACTTGTTTGTGATCAAGTTGGAGAATTAAGGTGGATTCTCCCAAAAGACAGCTTTAGAGCTGCCAGTTCAGGAAACACAGACTGAAATAACCCTTCATCGTCTCTTCCTTCTTTTGTGAAGTCAAGCTTCATTCTTTACCGAGTTCCTGGTGCATCTCCCTCTAGGGAAATAACACACGTGCGCGTCCAGGCATGCAAATGTGTACTTTTTTTTTTTTTTAAATGTGCCCTAATGTGGCTTGACAAAATCCATCCCCACCCTCTCCACGAGCAGCCTGAACTTTGTGGGAAAAAACCAGCTTGAGTTTTGCCTTATTTTCCCATATTAGGAAAACGTCTGGAAATGCGTTTCCTACCAATGAGCTCTGCCGGCTTGTTGGGCCTTTTGTTGATAAACGTCTCAAAGGACTCCTTCATCAGGTTGACAAAGCGCTCGTTCTTCTGGAAGCACACCTCTATCACGTGGTCCACCTTGTCCTTGAAGTCCAGCAGGTCTTGGACCATGTCTTTATCTTTCTCAGGGTTGATGACAATCGTCGTCCCAAAAGTCTGCGAACGCAAATAGATACCAAGTCAATGATCAGCTTATGAGAACACCGAACAGTATATTTTATTGTTTTCTTTTTTCAGACAGGGTCTTGCTCTGTCACCCAGGCTGGAGTGCAGTGTTGTCATCGCAACGCACAGAAGCCTCAAACTCCTGTGCTCAAGGGACCCTTGTGCCTTGGCCTCCCAAGTAGCTGGGACTACAGGTTCAGGCCACCACATCTTGCTCATTTCTTTCTATTTTTTGCAGAGACGGGGTCTCGTTCTTGCTCAGGCTGGTCTCGAACTCCTGACCTTAAATGATCCTCCCACCTCAGCCTCCCAAACTGTTGGGACTGCAGGCATGAGCCACTATGCCCGGCCTGACAGTGCTTTTTAAAGAAATTTTATTAATAGTTCTAAATCTCTCAAACAGAAGTTAATTCCTGGCAACTCAATACACCAACGTGAGCTTCCTGACTGTGGTTTTCTTTGTCCATCACTTCTCAACATGGACAGGCCCAGGTTTAGCGTGTTTAATTCAAAAATGTTATATTGAACACTATTAAAAATTTGTGTGACAAGCAGAAATGTCTCCAGACACCACCAAGCGAGCCCTGGACGAGCGCCCGGCCTTCCTTGAGGAGCCGCACCAGCACTGAGGGCGCTGCGGGGCAGGACACCTGAGAGCTGAAGTAACACTCGGGAAGGCACCGCACAGCGGGATTAACTGGGCACCTTAGGACACATAAAAAACGTTTTAGAAACATGAAAGTACGACCTTCAGTATTAAATCCTAATTTACAGCCGGCACAATGGCTCATGCCTGTAATCCCAGCTTCTTTGGGAGGCTGACACAGGAGGATCACTTGAGGCCAGGTGTTCAAGACCAGCCTGAGCAACTTAGGGAGACCCTGTCTCTACAAATAAAATTTTAAAAAATTCTAATTTACCACCTTCTTTGAATGATTTTGCTCATCAAAGCATACAGCGCAACAATTTATGCAAATTTCTATTTACTTGAAGTCTTTTTTTTCTTATGCTGAGACTTTTTTTTAAAAAAAACACCTGGACTGGTCAGGGTGGTGCACGCAGGTAACTACAGCACTTTGGAAGGCTGAGATGGGAAGACGGCTTGAGGCCAATAACCTGAGACCAGCCTGAGCACAACATAGCGAGACCTTGTCTCTGCCTAAAAAAAAAAAAACACAGAAAAACATCCAACACAAATCCCAAACACGTTTGAGGTGGACAGCAAACCCTACACGTGGCCTGCTGGGAAGCGGCGCGGTGCACGGACCACCTGAGGCACCCGTACACCTCTTCTCCCCGAGCAAGGCGCCAGGACGCAGGCGCACGGAACCACTGCCTCAGAGAGACTGTGACCGAGGGCTGAAGCCAGCATTTGTGCAAACAGCTGTTCTCTAAGTCATGTCTCCACCTGGAGGGGTTTCTCACTATTGGCGCTATCTTAAAAAAACAGACTTGGCTTAAAAAACACGTGCACAAGTGGCCTGGAAGAAAGTGGAAGGCGCCTGTCCACCCCATCACCGTGATGAGGGCACAAAGGTGCCTCCCGCAGCCGAGGCCCGTGCGGGCGCAGGAGGGGCGCCCGGCTCCTACCTTGATGTACTCGCTCCAGTGCCGCAGCAGCGCCTGCTGCCCGCCCTTGACGCGGCTGAACAGCTGGTACATCTGCGTGAGGTCCGGCACTCTGTTCTCGTCCAGCAGGTGGTCCAGCCCTGCAACGGAGCGGTGACGTTAGCGACCACGGCGGCAGTCTGCAGCACCACGAAACCTGAACACGGCCCACGCCATGGGACAGTTAGCATCCAAGTCAGAGGGGCGGGGAGTCCAGTGACATGTCTGAGACAGAGCCTGCCGGGGCAGCTCGTCTTTCTGCGTGAGCCGGGAGATGTGTTGTTGATTCCTGCCGCCGAGGCCCTATCTCACTAGAGCAGGGATGGCCGGAAACGCTCACGCCAGCTACTTAACCCACAGGCCCGATTCCAAGTTACTTCTGATTTAGTCCCTCAGTCAGAAAATCGTTTATGAAAGGATAAACGACCGATTCTAATTTTCAGCTGGTTAACTTTATTCACATGTACAGTAAGCTGTGGGACAAAACACTCATCAGATATTTTAAAGTGTTTGTGGTGTTTTGAAAAGTATTTACTATTTTAGAGACTTAAATTTCATGGAGATTTTCTAAAACCATACCATAATTAGAAGAGCTTTCACTGATTTCCCAAACGATTCTCCCCGATCCCCCTGGAGGCGGCCACGGCGAAGCTGCCACGCCACTCGCCAGGTCCTCGGGCCAGAACCCCGCCCCAGACGCGCACGGCGCCCACGCGCTTAAGGTGGTGGCTTGAAAATGCGCACAAACGTGGTACGCTGTAACTGTGATACCCACCTAGACCTCCAAATGCTATTTCTTTAAATCATATTTCCATCTACTGATACAAATAAACTTTTTATATTTTATTTTACTGAGACTTTAAATATCTTCTTTAACAATTCAAAAACTATAGCTTTTTAGTTTTTTTTTTTTTTTTCTGAGACAGAGTCTCACTCTGTCACCCAGGCTAGAGTGCTGTGGCGTCAGCCTAGCTCACAGCAACCGCAACTCCTGGGCTCAAGCAATCCTCCTGCCTCAGCCTCCTGAGTAGCTGGGACTACAGGCATGCGCCACCATGCCCGTCTAATTTTCTCTATATATTAGTTGGCCAATTAATTTCTTTCTATTTATAGTAGAGATGGGGTCTCGCTCTTGCTCAGGCTGGTTTCGAACTCCTGACCTCGAGCAATCCGCCCGCCTCAGCCTCCCAGAGTGTTAGGATTACAGGCGTGAGCCACCGTGCCCGGCTGCTTTTTAGTTTTTAATATGCTTCTAATAAAATTCAGAGTAATGATATATAATCTATCATTTTCTTTTATTATTATTATTATTTTTCAATTTTTTTCTGAGACAGAGTCTCGCTTGTTGCCCAAGCTAGAGTGAGTGCCGTGGCGTCAGCCTAGCTCACAGCAACCGCAACTCCTGGGCTCAAGCAATCCTCCTGCCTCAGCCTCCCGAGTAGCTGGGATTACAAGCATGCGCCACTGTGCCCAGCTTATTTTTTCTATTTTTAGTTGTTTGGCTGATTTCTTTCTATTTTTAGTAGACACGGGGTCTTGCTCTTGCTCCAGGCTAGTCTCAAACTCCTGAGCTCAAGGAATCCTCCCACCTCGGCCTCCCAAAGTGCTAGGATTATAGGCGAGAGCCACCGTGCCCGGCCCCTAATCTACGATTTTCTACAAACGATTTTGCTCAAAGTATGCTCTGAAATAACTTAACACAAATTTCTAAGTCTTTTTCCCTTATAAAGTGACTTCTTTTTTAAAAACGCCTGCTACAAACCCTGAGCTCACCTGTGTTGGTGAGCGGTGGATCAAGGCCTGATACGTGTGGAAACGCAGCGGCTGTGCGGCTTCAGCGTGGCAGAAGCAGAAACACCCAGCCTGGCCACGGCCCACACCAGGAGCTACGCGGCCCACACCAGGAGCTATGAGGCCCCACACCAGGAGGTGCGCGGCCCCAGGCGCCACCGTCTGGCCATGCGGGGCCTGCTTTCTTATTTGCAGAGCAGGGGGAGGTCTCGCAGGCCTGCTCTGGCGCTGCACGGCATTCGCGTGAAGCACAGCGCTTGTGGCCTTCGTTCTGGCCAAGGGGAGCCCGTGTCTGGACACCACTTAGGGCCTTCCCAAAATCAAGCTTTAAAGCGTCCAACGGCCAGAAAGAGACCCTGTGGTCTCCAGATACGCTTAAAATAACTTTCAGATGGTTGCACTAAATACTCAAGTTACTAAAAAGCCGCCACAGTGAGTGCTGAAGGGCTACAAAGGGTGGACGGCTGTGATAATTTCCAGAGAACTGAGCGCACTCTGGGGGCCAGAAACAAACAGAGACGGAGCTCTCGACACGTCTGCAAGGGCCCTGAAATTCAGGCCGCGGAAGGAGCCTCATGGCTGCTGCAAGGCGGATGTCAAAGCCGTGCAAATCAGCAGCAGAGCAACACGTTTCTCTTCTCTTCAGGAAAACCAGGAGAGGAAAGCATGTTCCAGAGGGCAGTGCGTCCGACACCAAGACGCACAAAATCCAAACAGCCGACCATTGCACTCGCCCACGCTGCCAGAGCTCTCGCGCCCCTACTGGTGTCAGGTGTGTGTGACACATGAGAGGCCAGGTGTTCGAGACACATGTTCAAGGCACCAGACACGTGTCCACGCGGGGGCGGCCTCCAGCGGCGAGTTTCAGCCGTGTGCGGTCTGCTCGAGAGGGTCCCCTGGGCCCTCTGGTCCAGAGAGAGTTAATGGGGTTTCAGCTACGAATGTAGGCCTGGCAGGCGCCTCGCGTGACTGCTCTTACCTGTTTATTTTCCCCACAATGGCTGATATGTTCACGGGGAGAGGCTTTTAATGATTGTTTTATGAAAATAACGGATGTCCTTATGTCGCTCTCGGCACGATCCCGACTTCCCCGGTGAACTGAGGGCTGCCCTCAGCTCCTCTCATGCAGAGCGAGGAAACCCACCTTTCTGCAGAATCGCTGTTAAATGCTCCCCCAGTAACTGCTTCTCCACACAAGCGATCAGCGGCTTCCTACATGGGCAAATAGAATCACCGTTAGAAACACAGGTCATACAAAAAATTAACCGCAACTTCCAGGCAAAAAAAATAAAAATAAATAAAAAAAGTTTTAAAAAAACTAAAGAAAAAAAAAAGAACAAAAAGAAACACAGGTCAAAGGAGAAACCTGGTTAGCTGTGAGCGACGGGAGGGCTGGTCTAAACCAGATGTCATCTGGACCCGTCAGAAAGTAACAGGCGAGAAGCATCTGCTCACACGTGTGTGACTGCCGCCGCCGCCGGCCCTGGAGCCCCTCCAGAAACCACTCGCCACACAACGCCAACAGGCGGACACACAGGTGAGCACACCTAAGGACACCCAGCCCCACCACAGCTGGGTGCAGCTTGCACTGGTCGCGACAGGCTGGGTTTCAGTTTTGTCCCCATCACGGGGCACTGCCCGCCACCTGCCGGCTTCCTGAATCGCAGACACTCCAGAGCCCCTGATGGAGCTTGCTGAGGAGGTCAACCCAGCCTAGCGCAGGCCTCGCACCAGCCTCTCGGTGTGCGGGCCAGAACGGAGCGCCACACGGCCTGGGCATTCTGTGCGAAACCGCCTTCCTCCCCCGGGTTCAAGGCTGGCCTGTCACCTCCACTGCCTCCCCGTCTGCCAGCCCTCAGCGCGGCTGCCCAGTTTATCCTCCCTGCCACGGCACCTCTCAGACAGGCGGGCTGCGTCCTGCCCCTTCTGGCGTTCTAAGTGGCACCTCTGGACTTGCGTTTGGGCTGGATCGATACACGCTTCTACCCCAAGCCCCCCGTGCCAAGTCCCAGACCCCCTCTGCCTTCTCCAGCTCCACCCGTCTGCCTTCTCCCATCACCACCAAGCAGGCCTCGCCTGCGGCCCCAGACGTGTGTCGCACAGAACAGCAGGCATGACCGCCACGCACACAGGGCACACGCGGCTTCCTCTTCCTGGCTGCTCTTTTGCTATCCACAGTCATTACATTTTCTTTTTTCTGAGACAGAGTCTCGCTCTGTCACCAGAGTAGGTTGCCATGGATGGCATCATCATAGCTCACTTCCTGGGCTCAAGCAATCCTCTGCCCTCAGCCTCCCAAGTAGCGGGGACCACAGGCATGTGCCACCATGCCCGGCTAATTTTTTCTATATATTTTTAGTTGTCCAGACAATTTCTTTCTACTTTTTTAAGTAGAGACAGGGTCTCACTCTTCCTCAGGCTGGTGTCGAACTCCTGACCTCGAGCAATTGCCCGCTTAGGCCTCCCAGAGTGCTAGGATTATAAACGTGAGCCAAGGCGCCCGGCCTAATTATTTTTGCTTTATTTTGTTGTTTTTATGAGATGAGAGCATCTGCTTTATTCCAAGGACTATTAACTTCGGCCATCCTCCCAAGGCTGCACTTTTTGTTTATGAAGAACTTAACGCACCCCCCATTAAAATCTCACAGCACAGCAACGCCCTGGAGAAGGCGAGCAGGACAGACACTCGCCTCCAGCCCACGCGTGAGGACAGAGCCGGGGCCGCGCGACCCGCACACGCCCGCGGGGCCCAGCGAGGAGGCAGCTGGGCTCTGACCACTGTTCTCCCTGCTGGCCCTCTGAGTTTCCCGGCCGCTTCTTTCCAAGCTCCCGTGGGCCCCTCTTCCACCCCAGTCCGACGGCAGCGAGGCAGAAGCCAACGGGATCCCCGGGCTACGCCGTGTGGGCTCCGCACACTCTGGGGCGGAGGCCTGGGACGTCCCGTCCCGCAGAGTCTCAAACTCCTCGTGCCTGACGGCGATTCCACCCTTCTCTCGCCCGTTTTCGCTCTGCGCTGACCCGGTCCCCTCTCCCACCCGCCTGTCCCTCCCTGAGTCGAGGTCGGTACACTCGCCCATCCCCCCCCCCAGCCCGCGGACACACACTGCGTCCGGCACAGACGCTCGCGTGATCGTCCCTTTGTCTGCCCCCAGCCACGCATCAACTCAGGTTTGGAGGAAAAACTAGGTGACAAGAGAAAACACTGTGACTCCGCTGTAAGTAAAGGTCAAAGGTCTGTAAGAGCCTGACCCTCAGCGATGCCCCGTCACCATGAACTGAACCCGTCTCAAAGCCCCAAGACGCCAATGTCTCCGCTGGAATCCCTCCTTTGGACAGTGACTCATGACGGGGCACCTAGTAAAAACTGCAATTTGCAGTGTCAAATAACGACAAACAACGTGAAAAAACAGGCTGGGAGCAGAGACGCTCTGGGACAGTGCCAAATGAACCCATGAGGACACGGTTAGCCCCAGCAGCCAGCCAGGGAGCCGCGCCCCCTGCGGCCACGGGCGGTACTCACTGTGTGCTGTGGTCCAGGTACGTGATCACTCGGTCGCCTTCTTCTTCCAGACGTTTACTTACGTGGTTCAGATATTCTGGAACCTTCCAAACAAAACATTTAAATAGATCAGGAACAAAAAGATTCTCAACATTATCTAAGAAACTGAAGTTTTGTTTTTCTTATTAAATCAAAAAATATACGTATACACAGGGGCCAAGGTGGCCGATGTGTGTGGCACAGAAGTCCCACGCAGGGCTGAGGGCCGGGCCACACCGCACTGCTCTGCTCACCACGGAGCCCACGCCTGCAGCCCACGGGGAGGGCGCAGGGCCTGCGGGCAAACCCCCACCACACACAGCCGGCCCGAGCATCTGGGGCACCAGACCACGTGGCTGCAGGACGCTCAAACACACTCCTCTCCCGGGTGACACCTTCCCGCTGCTGCCCCACAGCGCAGGCCAGGCCCGTGACGCGGGTCTCTGACGTGCTGCTCCGGCAGCAGCGAGGCCCAGTGACATGGTGTCTGCAAAGCCAGGATGAGGCAGCAACGGTGGGTGGACCTGGGGCCAGCACTCGCACCTGGGCGGTCCTCGGGATGCCCTAAGGATGCTCCTGGATCTGGGAAACGGGTTAAGTCTTTGGGCTCCTAATTACCTACCACTCGTGTTTTTCTCAAATGACTTTTTCTGGAAATTTTCTCCAATGCTTCATGCAAGTAAAATGTTTTATCGTTTACATTTATCTTTCTCTCACTGGCTTTTCGCCTATGGCAGGGCAACGGTGTCTAAGCTGATGGGAGGAGATTTAATTCCGGGGCTGGGAAGCAGGGGTCTCAGCTGGGCAGCAGCTTCCAGGAGATTCCGACACGGTGTCCGTGTGTGCGAGGACGAGGACAGGCGCCTGGACCCGGCCGGTGGAAAGGACTCGGGACAGAAACCCACGTCGTCTCACCTCTCTCTCCTGCATGAGTCTCTGGCCTTCCGCAGCGTACAAACAGTTAGTCTCTTCCAAAAATTTCAGTTCGAAGGAATCTTTGTATACCTAAGAGAGGAGCAGAGTCACTGACCCTCCTTCCCAAGTGCTGACATCCCCCATCTTCCGAGGGGCAGGTGAGTGACCCGCCCCAGGAACTGCCCATGACTGGCGTGGCGGCCGCTCTGCTCTGCCCGGGGCAGGGAGGGGCCGCCTGTGGGAGGGCCACGCACCCGAGTCTCGCCTTTCCTCCCCCAGCGTGCCACCTGGTTTTGTCTCGGCGATGGTACAATTTCCACTAGAAACGTGCGTTTTTACGTAGCCACGTTTACCCATCTTCCCCGTGGCCCCTGGTGTCGTGTTGCCCCGATCACCACTCCCCTCCCCTCCACTCCTGGCAACCGCTGTGGGTGATTTCTCTCCCGGCGACACGGCCTGGTGCCCTCACCTGCAGGTCGGACAGCATGCTCAGCAGGCTGCGCAGCAGGCTCCGGTCCACGGCCTCCCCGCTCCTCTCGCGCTCGATCAACAGCAGAATCCCGTCGATGGTCTTGCTCTGAACCGTCTTATCGCTGATGATATGGTTCCTAAACAGCTCTAGGCCCATGTCCCTGCACAGAAAGTGAGAGAACAAACTCGTTTCAGTTTCCCGTTGTAGAAGTTTCGGGTGAAGCTGCAGCTGCACCGTGAGTGCCACCCAGAGCGCAGTTCCCTCATCCTCCGCACCTGTGTGCTGACAATCCTTTCTCAGATTCTTCTATGTTATTGGCAGTCTGGGACGCCTTACATTTCTTCCTTTTAAACAAGGCTGTTCTACCTTTCTGGATTGGTCAGGTGTGGAGACATTCCTGGGTCATGCGAGTCACTGACAATTTAATCAACACGTATGACTCCACTGACCGCCACGCCCTGGACCACGCTGCTCTCCCTGGTAAGCAACTGCAGACGTCCTAGCACTGGGAAGCACTGCCCCACCTGAGCCCTGCCGTCCTCCATGGAGCTGTTGTGCAGTGCCTATCCTGCTCCTAAGTGTGGGGCCTTGGCATTGCAGAAGAGGACTCAGGACGTGGCTTTAAGAGCTCACCACACTGCCTTGGTTCATGGCGTGAGGAAATTAGGAATTCAGCACCCAGCGTGTCCATGAAACCTGTCTGATAACGTTCTCCATGCTTGACCTAAACGCTTCCACTGGCTCCCTCACTGCCAAGCTCTTTGCTAAGGAGAGACAAAGTATAGACATGAGGCCCAGCCAGGCATGCTGAGCTGGGGCTCCGGGGTGGCCATGGCGGCGGCCGAGTGCCAATAGCAGGAACTTGGCCTCTCTGTGCCCTTCCTCCCCGAGCTCTAAAATGGGATCAAAAGTGCTAGTTTATGCCCCCAAACACCTGAAAGCAGGGCCAGGCAGGTGGCTGGGCACAGGAGGGGCTGATTCTCTCCTCTAGTCCACCCTCTGTCCTGCCGCCAGGATCTCCTCTGAGTGCCGACCTCAGCTGAAAACCCCATAGCTGCCCAGGAGTCCTGGGGGCCCCTCACCAGCTTCTTCACCCAACTGACCCCACTCGGGGCCCTTCTAGTCACGCTGCCGCCCCCGTCCCCAGCAAGGGCTCATCTGCCTGGAACTTGCTGCTTCCTTCCCTCCCCCCAACGACCTAGCACCACCCCTGCATCCCAGCACAGCCCTTGGGGTCCAGAGCTCAAGGGCTCCCTCGCTGCACCTTCCCCACGCACGTGCCACCAGGTTCTCATCTCACTGACTCTCGTGTTTGGCTTCTCAGCCTCTTGGGGTGGACTGGAAGTGGTCTAGTTCATTCTATGCTACAAACGTTTGTAGTTCACGTGACATAATCACGGCATAAACTACACTCGTAAGTTAGGAGTTAGGACCATGGTGCCCACAATGCAGGCAGAGCAAGTTACTGACGCTGTGCCTCGGTTTCTATGAAACGGGCAGCGCCATGGCCACCCTTCACGTAGCCGTTCCGGGATCATGGCAGGCTGCAGGGCACAGCGCCCTGCAGAGCGCGTGCTGAATAATTTGCCACTATTGTTGCGATTGCCCTCGTCCTTTCTCTGAACACAGGCTCAGGGTCGGACGCGTCTGCCTTCTGAGGACCAGGTGGACGCCTGCAGGAGACGTGCAGGGGTCAGAGTGCAAAAGCAACAACAGGGGAAAACGGTCTCACGGAAGGGGACAGCGCTCGGAACTGTGCGGATGTCAGATTATATAAGGTAAGGACAAAAACACGCCTGCTGGGTCTGGTGACTGGGAGGTCGCCGACGTCTGTGGCCAGAGTGACACTGGTGCTGCCTTGGGTCAGCGAGCACAGACGGGCATGGGAGGGGCGTGTGTGGGACAACTTGGGCGTGAGGGCTGGCAGGCAGCAGCCCTACTGGCTCCTCCAGCTGGGAGCAGAATGAAGTTGTACATTGACAGAGAACGAGGCAAGTCAGGGACGAGACTGGACACAGCTTTTGTCTTGAGCTGTCTCGCAGGAGGCAGGACAGGCGCGGGGCTGCCCACCGAGGGGTGGTGGCAGCAGTGACTCCCCAGGGCCAGCTAAGGCTGTGGAGTGCCGAGGGGCCCCAGGAGGCCAGAGTGACACCGGGAGGAGCTCCCACTTGACGCGGTGCCCAAAAGATGACAGCATGAGGACAAAGATGGGAACGCGGTGAATCTGGAGACCTGTGTCTGTGCCCGGGCCAGGGTCAGGAGGCTGAGCCACTCCAGGGCACTGGGGCTGCAGAGCCTCGGGGGCCGCGGCCTGAGAGCAGCTGCACCCTCTCCAGAGTCCGAGTGCAGCGCTGGGAAGAGCCGCTACGGGCAGTGCTGGAGCCCGGGCCCATCTGAGAATAGTGCCCACGCGGCACTGAGCCCTCCGGGGTTGTGGGGTGCCGAGCGGTGCAACTCGGTGCGAGCTGGAGAAAGCGCCAGAACGCGCTCCTCCTGGGCACCCCGCCTGCCATGGCTCCCCGCCCCCCGCTGACCACGGACCCCGCCTCCCTCGCGGGCACTCACCACACCGGCCGACGTGGCACCAGAGGAAAGGAAGGGAGTACGGCGACCACACGAGCCCCCACGCGGCATAAGGGAGGCCGGCGCGGGGGGGACCCACGCCCCACAGACGCACTCACCAGACGGAGGGCAGCATGGAGTTCTGCAGCACGTACGTGCGGTCCAGGAACAGGAAGATGCTCCGGATCATGATCTGCCGGGCAGAGAGGAGGGCGACTGAGCAGCGCTTCGCCAGCAAGGCACCCGGGACGGGCTGCTCGGACGGCAGCGACGCCACCGCCTTGCACCCGCCCCTTCCGCGCGGCAGGGGCTGCCCACCACGCCAGTGAGGCTGGTTTCTTTCCCTAGCCCTGGCTGCTCCCCCTGGTGTCTGATTTTAATCTCAACACAGAGAATCTGACCTCGGGGCTTTCAAAGCACTTGGCCTAAAGGATGTCTTTTAAATCTACCCCTTCCTGACGGATGTGGTCCACCGCACTAGGTCAGCGAGGCATGGAGCTTTTAAAAGCTCATGTAGGCCGGTTGCGGCGGCTCACACCTGTAATCCTAGCACTCTGGGAGGCCGAGGCAGGCAGATTGCTCAAGGTCAGGAGTTCAAGACCAGCCTGAGCAAGAGCGAGACCCTGTCTCTACTAAAAATAGAGAGAAATTAATTGGACAACTACAAACATAGAAAAAATTAGCCTGGCACGGTGGCACATGCCTGTAGCCCCAGCTACTCGGGAGGCTGAGGCAGGAGGATCGCTTGAGCCCAGGAGTTGGAGGTTGCTGTGAGCTAGGCTGACGCCACGGCACTCTAGCCTGGGCAACAGAGTGAGACTTTGCCTCAAAAAAAATACATAAATAAAAGATCGTGTCCTCACGAGACTCGTGGACACCTGACTCCACGCCGTGAGGTGGAAAGACACAGAATAAGCCCGTCTTGCGTTCCTGCCATGGGCGTCTGTGGACGTCTGCTGCCCTCACAAACAAAACCCCCTGACAGACGCTCACCCACCTCTAGCACCTGCCAGGCGCCCTGTCTCCTGTTCACCTCACTTAGCGTAAGAATTGAAGCTACTCAGGGAAGCACCAACACTGCCTTTCCTCTCACTTAAGTGACAGCCAGGTCACAGCAAAGAGTCACACATGTAAAGCTCGGTCAGTGCCAAGTCCCTACGATGCCTGAGTTCAGCTCAACTACCTGAGAAAACTGGGACTGAGGAGAAACGAGAGGCCACCGGGAGTCTAAGGCCTGCGTCCCCACCGTGGCCTCTGCCCCGTGGAGCTGCGGGTCACCTCCCCCGTCTGGCCCTGCCGCCCGCTGCGCTGAGGCTGGCGGCACTGACAGACGCCTGCGTCTCTGCACACGCCCGCCACGCCGCCCTCATGTGGGTGCGGGAGGATGCGTGGGGCCCGTGTGACCAGGAGGAAAAACGGGAGAGCTGGGTTGACACAGGGCACCCCCGCTTGAATTTCCCATGCAGCCACACGGAGGCCCGTGAGCCCCAGAGGACGCAGGCAGGGCGAACACGGGTGGGATGGCCTCGCTCACCGTCTGCCTGCAGTGGTCCTGCCAGCACGCGTTCATCTTCTTCAGAAACAGGACGCTGTCCAGCGAGTCTGTGCGGCTCTGCTCAGGAAAACTCTCAGCATCACAGATTCTACCCGTTTCCGGTCTCTTCCGCACCGTGTGCCACATGGCAGCTACCGACCACAGCCCTGAAAGTCACTGTGTCGCCAAACCCCACGCTGACGCCCTCACTCCCACAGTGACGCCGCCATGAGGTCCCCACGGTGCAGCCTCGGGATGGGAGGGACCCAGAGAGACGCCGACACGCCTCCCGCCACGTGAGGACACGGCAAAGACACCGTCTTGGATCCAGGAAGGGCCCTTGAGAGACACTGAGCTGCTGTGCCCCGACCTTGGACTCCCAGCCCCCAGGACCGTGAGAATCCACCTTCAGTCGGGTGTGAGCCGCCCAGGCCACGGTGCCGTGTCACAGCAGAACGGACTCAGGCAGATGGAAAGTTCAGACACCACGAACATGGAACATGGTTTCCACCAACCTCCACGCCGCACCACCGACTTGCGCAGCCCCCCATTCCTCTCCCTGCTGCCCGGCCAGCCTCCCTTCCCCTCCCAGTCCATCCCTGCCAGAGACACGCGGGGCAGGGCACAGGCGCCACAGGCCACTGCACAGACGTAGACACTGGATGCAGCCCCACCCGGGGCTTCTGGAGGGTTCCGGAAGGAGCAAGGTGACCATTAATAGCACACGGGACAGGAGAGTGGCTGACATTTGGCCTTGACTTCCAGCCTGGATTGAAACTGACTTCCCTGGCCGGGCGCGGTGGCTCATGCCTGTAATCCTAGCACTCTGAGAGGCCGAGGCAGGCAGATTGCTCAAGGTCAGGAGTTCGAAACCAGCCTGATCAAGAGTGAGACCCCGTCTCTACTATAAATAGAAAGAAATTAAATGCCCAACTAATATATAGAAAAATTGGCCGGGTGTGGTGGCGCATGCCTGTAGTCCCAGCTACTCGGGAGGCTGAGGCAGGAGGATTGCTTGAGCCCAGGAGATTGAGGTTGCTGTGAGCTAGGCTGACGCCACAGCACTCACTCTAGCCTGGGCAACAAAGAGAGACTCTGTCTCAAAAAAAAAAAAAAAGAAACGGACTTCTGCAACACCGACATGAACTCTCACTCACGTACCAAACTGGAACTCTCTCAGCTCGACTCTCAGGACACACTTTGTAAGAAAGGCGCCAAAGCAGTGTGTGGGAAACAGAGACTGGAGTGCGGCCCCCAGGGAGGCCTGCCCCAGCGCCTGGACGGCCCACAGGCGTCCGCCAGGCCGAGCCGCACGTGCCTCCGCGCTGCTCTGCGGCTCAGGCGATGCTTTCCCACCCGTCTCAGCTAAGCGTCCCAGCTTCGAGACGTGGGCGGCACGTGGACTCCCGGCTCTGAGTCCCTCCCGCTCGCCAGCCGGCCGTGCCAGCCACGCCTGTGTCCCCACACGCAGCTCAGGGCTGACACATGGTGGCGGCACACGAAGCCCGCAGGAGGAAGTGCACATGCAAGTGTGATGCACAGACCCAGCGGGTCACCAGAGCCCCGGACATGGTGCAAGGCGCCAGGCGGGACAGAGGGTGCTCAGGAGCACAGCCCAGGACGGGGGGCCGTCCACACCCTAGCACAGCCCAGGACGGGGGCCGTCCACACCCTCAGCACAGCCCAGGACGGGGGCCGTCCACACCCTCAGCACAGCCCAGGACGGGGGCCGTCCACACCCTAGCACAGCCCAGGACGGGGGCCGTCCACACCCTCAGCACAGCCCAGGACCGGGGGCCGTCCACATCCTAGCACAGCCCAGGACGGGGGCCGTCCACACCCTCAGCACAGCCCAGGACGGGGGCCGTCCACACCCTCAGCACAGCCCAGGACGGGGGCCGTCCACACCCTCAGCACAGCCCAGGACGGGGGCCGTCCACACCCTCAGCACAGCCCAGGACGGGGGCCGTCCACACCCTAGCACAGCCCAGGACGGGGGCCGTCCACACCCTCAGCACAGCCCAGGACCGGGGGCCGTCCACATCCTAGCACAGCCCAGGACGGGGGCCGTCCACACCCTGGCACAGCCCAGGCCCGAGGCCCGTCCACACCCTGGCACAGCCCAGGACGGGGGCCGTCCACACCCTAGCACAGCCCAGGACGGGGGCCGTCCACACCCTCAGCACAGCCCAGGACGGGGGCCGTCCACACCCTCAGCACAGCCCAGGCCCGAGGCCCGTCCACACCCTGGCACAGCCCAGGACGGGGGCCGTCCACACCCTCAGCACAGCCCAGGCCCGAGGCCCGTCCACACCCTCAGCACAGCCCAGGACGGGGGCCGTCCACACCCTAGCACAGCCCAGGCCCGGGGCCTGTCCACACCCTCAGCACAGCCCAGGCCCGAGGCCCGTCCACACCCTCAGCACAGCCCAGGACGGGGGCCGTCCACACCCTGGCACAGCCCAGGACAGGGGCCGTCCACACCCTGGCACAGCCCAGGACAGGGGCCGTCCACACCCTGGCACAGCCCAGGACGGGGGCCGTCCACACCCTCAGCACAGCCCAGGACAGGGGCCGTCCACACCCTGGCACAGCCCAGGCCCGAGGCCCGTCCACACCCTCAGCACAGCCCAGGACGGGGGCCGTCCACACCCTCAGCACAGCCCAGGACGGGGGCCGTCCACACCCTCAGCACAGCCCAGGCCCTTGGCCTGTCCCACCCTCCGAGCACAGCAAAGGCCCTTGGCCTGTCCACCACCCTCAGGCACAGCCCAGGCCCGGGGTCGTCCACACCGCTCAGCCAGCCTCAGGCCCTTGGCTGTCACACCCCCAGCACAGCCCAGGCCGGGGGCTTCAACACCCTCAGACAGCCCAGGCCCGGGGCCTGTCACACCCTCAGCACAGCCCAGGCCCGGGGCCTGTCCACAACCTCAGCAACAGCCCAAAGGACCGGGGCCGCCGTCCACCACCGCCTCAGCAACAGCCCAGCCGGGGTCTGTCCCCAACAGGACCCTCAGCACAGCCCCCAGGCCCCCGGGGGCGCGTTCACACCCCTCCAGCACCAGCCCAGGCCCGGGGCCCGTCCACACCCTCCCAGCCACAGCCCAGGCCCGGGGCTGTCCACACCCTCAGCACAGCCCAGCGCCCGGGGCCCGTCCCACCCACCCTCCAGCACAGCCCAAGGCCGCGGGTCTGTCCACACCCCTCAGCACAGCCCAGGCCCGGGGACCGTCACACCCCCCTCAGCACAGCCCAGGCCGGGGCCGTCCACACCCTGGGCAGCAGCCCGGCCGGGGCAGCTCGCTGTGGCTCAATCCTGGCACAGCCCAAGGCCCAGGCTGGCTCCGGTGGGCACGCCTGCCATGGGTACAAGAAGCCGTCCACCCTCCTTGAAGCTCAGCACACCCAAAGACCAGACCCCGCCGCCTCCCTGACCCCGAGGGGCTCAACACGCCAACGGGCCCAGACCCCCACCCCTGGGAACCCCGCCGTGCCCGAGGTCTTCGCTGTCCGGCCAGGCGCTGACTTCGCACGGGCGGGCACCCCCTCCTGGCAAAGATCGTGAACACCCGCCCTTTCGCCGCCTGAGCACCCTGGGCCGATCCTCCACCGTCAGGTGAAATCCAGCTTCCTGCCTAACAACGCCCCTCCGCGCGCAGCCCCAGCCCCTCCAGGAACGCCCTGCAGACACCGTCCACGCAGACGGCTCCCCCGCCAGAGCATCCCCGATCCCCCACCCAGAGCATCCCTCCCGCAGCCCAGGGCCGCAGCCCCGTCTCTGAGGACGAGGCCCGAACCCACTGTGCCAATGTGATGCCTTGCCTGTGCCCACGGC